GGTAACCAACCAGAGCTCAGAAAACAGAGGACAAATACTATAGAAATGTTTTATTCCTCTTAACAATGTTCTGACATAGTGTGGCTATGAATATATTGTGAACATTTCTCTCACCTTTATCTAAAAGCCTGTGTCTCTGCCATTTTGCATAAGAACACCACTGGTATGAGAGGTCCTCAGCTCAGTAATATCAGAGGAGAAACAATCTTCAGGAGTATGGGGTACCAGGACCTCTGATAAGGGCTGTTAGGTCCCTGTACAACGGTGTCAGAGCTTGGTGCACAGTAAGTCTAGCTCATTTCCGGTGAGAGTTGAATTCCACCAAGGCTGCCCCTTTTCACCGATTCTGTTCATAACTTTTATGGACAGCATTTCTAGGTGCAGCCAAGGTGTTGAGGGGATCTGTTTTGGTGGCCTGAGGATCAGGTCTCTGCTTTTTGCAGATGATGTGGTCCTGCTGGCTTCATCAGAACGTATCTTCAGCTTTCGCTGGAGCGGTTCACAGCCGAGTTTGAAGCAGATGAGATGAGAATCAGCTCCTCTAAATCCAAGATAAGCAGAAGATAATGGATGGATGGATGGATGGATGGATGGATGGATGGATGTTGATTTATCCCATTAAAAACAAGGTGATGTTCCCCAAGGCAGGTTTTGAAGTTGGCCTGAAAACTGGGCTTAAATACACAATTTGCCATCCAATCCCATTGTTGAACAGAACATTATGTCTTATTAGTAATGTAAACATGGTTTTAAAAAGAATAAAAAAGGGGAAGGTTTTTGTTTTACTTAAATGTGACATTGTAATATTACAACTGTGTGTCTCTAGGGGTTCAGACAAAAGTCATGCTATGTCTCATTAAATCATCTTTATCATCAGAATTTCAGGTAACTTTGGCTCGTGTTTTTAATCGTAATCAATTACAGACTCTCTTAACCCTTTGGTGCATAATGGTCACTACAGTGGACAGGTACTCAAAATTGTTATTTATTTGTTTTTGCTATTAAGCACAGCTGTTGAAGACTTTATTGTATTTGAGCCCCTCCATTTGGACTTCAGTAAGTCAAGCCAACATATTTCATGTTCAGAATGCACGTGGTCCACTAAGGTGGACCTGTAATAAATTATTTGTAAATTATAAAATTTTACAAAAAATATTTG